CTGTTGTCTAGATCCAGAAATCACACGTGCGAAGAGGGGGCGAATCGCTAGTATATTCATATCATAACATACGTATTGGTGATCTATTTCAAACCTTTTAACATATGTCAACTTATTGCAGCAGATGTATAATTATGTAAGCTTTGACGCAATCTAAATTAATTAAAACTTTTATTCAATTAATAGCTTCGAGACCAGCGATGGTACAGCCCGCCAAGAGGAGGGAACCCTGAAGCAGATCAGCGAAGATCACAAGGCGATCGAAGTGAAGGGTAGTTATAAGTACGTAGCCCCCGATGGAGTTGTATACGCAGTCACCTTCACCGCTAATGAGCACGGTTTTCAACCCCAGGAGCACGTGGAGCAACATGACGAACACTAATAGATGTCTGGGACATTATATATCGTTTGATAAAGATGTTTTAAATGTAACATATTGGCTGAAAGTTTTATGATATCAACACCTTCATGAAAACAGCGTGAATTATTGCTATAAAGAAAAAATGAACAATGTAGTCTGTGTGAGTCTAGTATAGCCTTTGTTTTAGAGCATTTTTATTTAACGATATACGAGTATGATATATTAAACGCTTATCCATTCGAGACATGTATAATATGCATACACAGAGTTAATCTGTTTTAAGTTTCTTCGATTGTTTTTACACGATTTTTACATTTTGTACAATGATATTTTTGTAAATAAATTCTTTTTTATTGTTTAACACAGCCTTTTATTGCAAATTCTTTAAAATCTATGAAGTATTCTGCTTCAAATGTTTTTTTTAGTGATTTAAGAATAAATCAAATGTCATACATATTTTAAATATTGAAAAAGTAATAAATATTATAAATTGAAGCTCCGGAACCATGTTATGTCTTAATCGTAAAAAATGTGCGGATTTTTTGAACTCACTTATAAGTAAATGATTGATTTAAATATACTATATTACAACACAGTTATATCTTCCCTACAAGAATTAAAGATAATCCACCATATAATACTGTTGACCACCCACTTAAACCTCCCCCTCACATGGTTGGTGATTGCAGCGGTGAGAATTTTTTCTTAGGCTATTCATGCTTGGCCATAAGGTGGATTTGATATTCAAATACCATCATTATGGCTGATGGTTATAGTGCCATCAACGACAAAAAATAACGTGATAAGGATTGTCATATTATTATATTAACCTGTATTATGAGAATAGGGTAGGAAGTAGTAGTCTTCTAGTGTCCGTATGTCACGCATAACTACTAGATAAGCCTTGGTTGCTTGGTAACTGACCTAATATAGCATAATCACATATCTAAAAAGTGATAGTATTAAGTATGCATTAAAAAGCACGTGTAAAATGGATGTTCTACATTTTATCCGTTACTAAAGTCAATTGCTTACTACGACAATGTATGTAAATGACAACCATTTGTTATGATATTTGCTCCGAGCATAGAGAATATAACTAGAGAGCTTTTAGGCAGATTTCTTCTAAGCATACGACTCACTACTGCGGGCCGGGGGGACGAGGAAGAACGCGTGGCTGCAAATGGTCAAGTTGCGTTGTTATGGCTATCTTTAGGGTTGCTCTTCTTAATAAAGGAAAATATTCGTTATCGATAAAATGGATTTTATCATTATGAAAAATACTCAATTAAAATCATAGAAATAATATTTAATCAAAATCAATCAGTTACAACGAAAACATTTATTTATACTATATTATTATTCATTTTAAAATGAATTAATTTGTTATATTTATTTCGAATTAAAGTTTAAGGGTCCTGATTGTTCTTTGTAAAAAAAATATAAACAAGCGTCTACATATTTGTAAATTATGCATCTTGCTAATTCAATTAAATGATTTGTTGATTCTATTTCAAATTGATGAAAATGAATATACGGGAATCAATAATACCTAATCAGAGATTTTAAAACCGTTCTCATAAAATAATTGGTATTATATTTCGAAGACAGTAGTTTTGAACCACTCTCATTGATCGCCCTCTTATTAAAATTTTTACAACGACGACAAATATCTATTACTGTAGTGGATCCGTACAATAACTTCTCTTTAGTGTCCTTTTGAAATTGTAAGCCGTTCTGATTTGGTACACCAATCTAACTAATTTAACTAGGTAACTATAAACTTTAACTAAGAAAAAATACCGACAAACTGAGAACCTCCTCTTTTTTCTGAAGACGGTTAAAAGTAGATAAGTATTTTTTCACAGTGTGTGAATTGAATAATCTTTTTATTAATTTTAATTTTATTATTTTCGATATCGACTTTCAGCTATTAAAGGTAACAGTAAGTACTAATATTTACGATAAATATACAAAGGTAAAGAAAGGTATTTAATTATTATTTTTATTTTCATTAGAATTGTCTATTAATAGAACGAGACTTTTGCAAAAGACATCAACGCGCGACTCAACCATGTCGTTATTTACCCGGCCACCGTTTTAGATAGACCCCTGCGGTGGCTCATAATCTGAATTAATCAACAATAATTTTCATATTTTTTTACTTAGCAATGAAAAGTTACTCCATTCTTTTTGGACATCTGTCCTGGAATGTTTCCCACACCACTTCACCGCGCATTTTGATGCATTATAATTACATAAAAGTTACAAAAATATGCATTAATTTAGCGTGCACACAGGTCTAATACTTGGACAATACTAAAATGGTTAATAGTACCATAGCCGATGCATAGGCGACAAAATACTAATAGTTTTCGAGCGTCGGCGCACTGTATGCGCAGTCAAGTGGTTATATAGTCTTTGGCTCAGAGTAATTACTAGGATGGGCGAATAGATGTTTGGAGCTTTACCGAATATTCGGCAAAATCACCGAATATTCGTTAAAGAGGTACTCAAAGTGTCCACTTTATTTAAATATACGAATTGAGTAATGCCATGTTTTTCATAATTTTACTGTTGAAGGTATATTTTATTTATGGGTTAAATCTACTGGTATAGCATAATGTTTTAGGGGCACTGTAGGTTTATTTCCAATTATAGCAAATAGAAAGCTTGATATATTTTTTTTGTAATAAAACAAATAAATATTGCATTACATTATACATAGTACATTTCGCTTTATCAGTTCAAATGGTATATCTCCTGCCACTCATTTTTATCACATAATTATCCATTTTCATTAAGAATAACACTAGGAATTACTTTTTTTCTCACAAAAATAGTCAAAACATAAGCATGTACCGGTAATTTGCTCAGTATTAAATAATGCAATAAAATGTCAGGTGTGGCGGGGGAGCGAGAGGCAGGATCCGGCGCTAATCTTGCGCACTTTACGGTAACAAGTTTTGATATAAATTAGTTATATAAGAAGGTGATTCTGCCGAATAAAGTTCGGCCGAATATTCGGTTCGGTAAAAGTTTTACCGAACATTCGGCCGAATATTCGTATTCGGTGAGATCCATATTCGGCCCATCTCTAGTAATTACCAGCATAGAGAGAGTCTTAAAATAAGAACAAAATTCTTATAGCTGAACTCTTTATACACATGAAGTTTAATATTCCTGACACCTCTATTGATGTGCCGTTAGCGAAACAGAAAACGTTGTCAATAAATTCATTTAGTGTATGACTTAGTAAAATTAGGGATTTTTATCAGTCCGGTCTCTAATACTTATTTATATCAATTAAAACTTATGGAAGCTTAAAGCTTAAACATAGTTGAATAATGCGAAATTTCGCACTATCATTGTATAATTTAAAATATATTGTGAAAAGGTCACAACGAAATGTACTTAAATCTAACCGGTATATTTCCGCCAAATTACCCTTAGACTTATGGGTTTGGGACACTGTGTTTGCTTCACGGAACGTACACAGAGAGTACAGCTACGATAGTACAAAAACAGCGGCAAGACCGCTGTCTACCTTCTCTTTTGTCGGTGGATCACTACTTCCGTTTTCCTCTCTACTCCCTCAAGATACTATCAAGATATAATCAAAATAAATCCTATACCTTTAAACGAGCAATTCTTGTATATATATAATCGGAATCTCGGAAACGGCTCCAACGATTTTCATAAAATTTAGTGTCCAGGGAGTTTCGGGGATAATAAAACGATCTAGCTAGGATTTATTTTTAGAAAATGTCTTTTTGTCCGTGTTTTTAGGCAATGAAAAACTGCTACAATATCGTTAGAATAAGAAGGTAAATTTTGACAGATCGTCAATGATTATAAATAGCTTAATTGGTATGATGGGCGGTCACAGAATCGTAAAACCCCGGTTCGAGCCCAGACCGAACGACCAACTTTTTTTTTAATTTTTTTTCAAGTTCCTTTCTTTTTTTGAGAAATCTATTTTTCGAGACCTTTTTTAGTATTTTTTAAAAACACGAAAATTTAAATTAAACTAATTGCACTCATGATTTTTTATTCAAATAACCAGTTCAGTTTTTTCTATTATGTCGCTAAGATCAAAAAATATTATTCATATTTCATCAGTATGTAATTTGTATCTAAATATAATTTCCAAAACACACGAATTAAAAAAAAAACCGAGCGAAAAATACCGAGCAAAGCTCGGTCAACCGGGTACTGAATATAATTAATTCATTAATTATAGCCTGTCAAAAGTCCACTGTTGAACGTAGGGGGAATATTTGCCATAGTTCCCTTTCTGAGCAAGTGTTTTTTTTATTATTTTAAGTTGTTATCAGGAAGATAGTGTTGCCTATCTCCAGTTTCATTTCCCTACGTCGTGTCTTACGATATTTACGGGATGGTATGGGGTCTTAGAGCTTCTAAGTAGTAATGCTTGGCTATACATACGTATGTATATAGTTACTCTGAGGATATTTGCAAATTACATATTTCAATATTTCTACTATAAATTGTCACTGTCAAATTTATATAATTATGGGGGTTAACAACACTTTAAAAGCGAGATTTCACTTTGAAAGTGTAGTTGCAGTTTTTTAAAGATAGCAAAAAAGAAAATAAAAATAGAAAAGTGAATTACCTTAAAAATCGTCAATAATAAAGTCTGTTCTCCATCATTTTCTTTCATAAGGTACGCAGGACCACAACGGACGGCGAATTCGGCCAAGCACAGTAACAGCGAACCCGCAAGAGGTTTGACAGAATCTCGGGAGCTACTGCTCGATATTTGAGCGAGGCAAGCGCATATCCATTTTATTATTTTCTCTACACAAAAATAAAAACAACATTGTAAATTTGTTTGCAATGATCTATTAATGATATTTTCTATGAAAATGCAACATTACCAGCTAGTCCGGGATATAGTTCCACGATGCGATCCGTGTAGTCGGCTAACACCAGTATAGCGTCGCTCACAACCTTAGCTATAGTTTTATTTTTCATCTGAAATAGACAAAAACATTGACATGTTATTTGTCAAAATAAGACGCTTTGCTAAGAAAGACGTAGAAACGGACAAACAGACATACCAACAAACCGGTCAATATAATAAATTCCTTTGGTAACTGCTGCCAATGGATAAAGACACCTAAAATATTCAGATTCAGTATTGCTATGTATTACGTACAGTTTTTATTACAAGTCACTGTGCAACTACTGTGACTATGAACACTTGTAGCAGGTGCGCAACGTGCGCAGCCCGCACGCACATGCTGTCTACAATCACAGATCGCGGTCGCCGTGCTACTGACCATGAGCATCTGCAGCAGGCAGGTGACGTAGGCGGGCAGGCGGGCGCAGGGCTGGCGCGAGTCGAGCAGGTGCGCCACGTGCGCGGACCGCACGCACGTGCAGTTTACACTCACAGATCGCGGTCGCCGTGCTACTGACCATGAGCATCTGCAGCAGGCAGGTGACGTAGGCGGGCAGGCGGGCGCAGGGCTGGCGCGAGTCGAGCAGGTGCGCCACGTGCGCGGACCGCACGCACGCGCAGTTTACACTCACAGATCGCGGTCGCCGTGCTACTGACCATGAGCATCTGCAGCAGGCAGGTGACGTAGGCGGGCAGGCGGGCGCAGGGCTGGCGCGAGTCGAGCAGGTGCGCCACGTGCGCGGACCGCACGCACGCGCAGTTTACACTCACAGATCGCGGTCGCCGTGCTACTGACCATGAGCATCTGCAGCAGGCAGGTGACGTAGGCGGGCAGGCGGGCGCAGGGCTGGCGCGAGTCGAGCAGGTGCGCCACGTGCGCGGACCGCACGCACGCGCAGTTTACACTCACAGATCGCGGTCGCCGTGCTACTGACCATGAGCATCTGCAGCAGGCAGGTGACGTAGGCGGGCAGGCGGGCGCAGGGCTGGCGCGAGTCGAGCAGGTGCGCCACGTGCGCGGACCGCACGCACGCGCAGTTTACACTCACAGATCGCGGTCGCCGTGCTACTGACCATGAGCATCTGCAGCAGGCAGGTGACGTAGGCGGGCAGGCGGGCGCAGGGCTGGCGCGAGTCGAGCAGGTGCGCCACGTACGCGGACCGCACGCACGCGCAGTTTACACTCACAGATCGCGGTCGCCGTGCTACTGACCATGAGCATCTGCAGCAGGCAGGTGACGTAGGCGGGCAGGCGGGCGCAGGGCTGGCGCGAGTCGAGCAGGTGCGCCACGTACGCGGACCGCACGCACGCGCAGTTTACACTCACAGATCGCGGTCGCCGTGCTACTGACCATGAGCATCTGCAGCAGGCAGGTGACGTAGGCGGGCAGGCGGGCGCAGGGCTGGCGCGAGTCGAGCAGGTGCGCCACGTACGCGGACCGCACGCACGCGCAGTTTACACTCACAGATCGCGGTCGCCGTGCTACTGACCATGAGCATCTGCAGCAGGCAGGTGACGTAGGCGGGCAGGCGGGCGCAGGGCTGGCGCGAGTCGAGCAGGTGCGCCACGTACGCGGACCGCACGCACGCGCAGTTTACACTCACAGATCGCGGTCGCCGTGCTACTGACCATGAGCATCTGCAGCAGGCAGGTGACGTAGGCGGGCAGGCGGGCGCAGGGCTGACGCGAGTCGAGCAGGTGCGCCACGTACGCGGACCGCACGCACGCGCAGTTTACACTCACAGATCGCGGTCGCCGTGCTACTGACCATGAGCATCTGCAGCAGGCAGGTGACGTAGGCGGGCAGGCGGGCGCAGGGCTGGCGCGAGTCGAGCAGGTGCGCCACGTACGCGGACCGCACGCACGCGCAGTTTACACTCACAGATCGCGGTCGCCGTGCTACTGACCATGAGCATCTGCAGCAGGCAGGTGACGTAGGCGGGCAGGCGGGCGCAGGGCTGGCGCGAGTCGAGCAGGTGCGCCACGTACGCGGACCGCACGCACGCGCAGTTTACACTCACAGATCGCGGTCGCCGTGCTACTGACCATCAGCAGCTGCAGCAGGCAGGTGACGTAGGCGGGCAGGCGGGCGCAGGGCTGGCGCGAGTCGAGCAGGTGCGCCACGTGCGCGGCCAGCGCGCACGCGCCCGCACACCGTGCTGCCGCGGCGCCTTCTCGCCGGCACACGCGCACGACAATGTTCAGCACATGCTCCTAAAATCCCGCTCATATTTAGAGTATAATTTATGCGAAAATTAAAAAAATGTTCAAAAGAATACTTAGTTTTTCTAATTATTTCTTATATTTACGCGAACACTACACATTTAAATAATAATAGTTTTATTTAAATGTGTTATTTCCGCTTTGATTTTCCGCAAGCACATCGATTTACTTTGTGCTGGAGTTCGTAAATTAATATGCATTTTAAATATTTCCGTAACATACGTGGTAGAGTCATGCTGCAGTTATATTAGTAGTATAGTTGTAGCACGAATGGGTCGGCTCGAACGGGGAAGGACCACGCTCTCACAGAATACCAGCATGAAATAGTAGCTTAATGCTGCTGTATTTCGTATGGTGAGTGTAGAGAACCGGAGACCCTTTTTACAGGAAACGAGGCATTCCAACTTAGTCCTCACGGGTGACAACGCATCTGCATTTTGATTCGTAATCGAGGATAGATGTAGATGTCTATGGGCCACAGTAACCACTTACCATCAGGTGGACTGTGCGCTCGTTTGTCACCCTATCCTATAAAAAACAAACATCGCTGACTTTAAATTGATTAGACAGGTCTATTTAGCTTTGTGTCAATCCATACTCACTTATGGCATTACTTTCTGGGGTGGTGTTTCTAAAACAATAATACTCCCACTAGAACGTGCTCAGAGAGCTATGGGCGGCCACTTTCCGTCCTTTCATGTTTACTACACATCAACTTTACTTGGCATGTAGTGTACTAACTGTCCGTCAGTTGGTTATTCTGAACATCATATTATTGGGTATAACAGCGTACCCAATTTCCATTTAACTTTAAATTCATAGACAGGAGAAGAATGAACTTTGTTTGTGTAAATCCTTAAACCAAATACGCACTTGTGAACAGATTTTACATATTTTAGGACCCTTTCTATATAACAAGCTCAACAAGCCACTAAGCATGGGCGTTTTCAGTTTTTAGCTACAACGGTTATATAAGTATATAACCTATATTATTTCAATAACAATATGAAAAGTCAATAACAGTTCATACTTTTTTGATTTCGCGCTTGCCTTGTGTTGGCTTACCAATACTGTAATATTAACTACTATTGGTACTTTTTTGATATTTTTTATTTCCATAAAGCATTTTTGCAGTTTTCCTGGAGATCTGGACTTAAAGAATACATAGTAGACATACACACTCGATCGATTAATGATTAGGTACGAATGGGTTGAGTTGTTACGGCCTAGGAAGCTTTTAATAAATTTTACTATACCATAACTTTGAATAAATTTTATTATACCGTAAATACTGTTTTATTTGTTAAAGGAAGTCAGTACCTTTTCAATAGACCAATATTTAGTTTTAGTTAGTTTTGTATTCATAGCAACTTATTGCAATTTGTGTATGTTAACTAACGTAGATAAACACATAAACACGTTTCAAAGATAACAAATAATAAAGAAATACTAATTTAAAGAAGTATACGAATACGTTTTCGTCCGCGTGGAATTCAGTCATATCGGGTTATCCGGCGACGCCGATCCTTGTACAAAATAAGGTTGACAGCCATTCTACTGTATATTATAGTATTCTATGCACACGCAGATCATCGAGATTAGGAGTTTTGGCGGGAACTTGGCCGTCGACGGTTGTCGCTCCTGTTTTGTCGCTTGAATAATGGTTTGAAGTGGATTTTGATTCGTAAAAGTAATGCGATTTTATGAATAAAGTGTCTGCGCGTGTTAATTATAAGAGAAAACGACGAAATAAGTGCTTTGATGTTGATATAAACCTCAAGTTAATTTGATCGCTTGGGCGCCTTATGAACTTGAGTGGCTGTCGTCAACTATGTGCTGGGTCAAAATCTCCCAAAAACTTCGCAATGTGACGCATCAGCATATTGTGAAGAAAAAAATATATAAAAGTGAAAATTCCAAGAAATATCTTACCTAAGTATAAGCTGTTAATGTAGGCCATTGAGCTATTATATGTACTACGTACTAGAGGAGACACTGCATTCAGCTACTCTGTTCCACTCAACTGCAGTGCATGCACTGCACTTTACTCAGTCACTCGATAAGCGCTTGTAGAGTTGTCACGTGTTGTGTTGATTTAAAAAAAATCTCTTGATAAAAATATGCCGTCTTGTGTACTTAGATATTGCACAAATAATTCAAGAAATGTCAGTAAAAACCCAGGAATTACTTTTCATCGGTTAATAAGATACTTATTCAATAAAAAAGTATTATAAATTAATAATAATAAAATTATTCCTAAGACGCCATCTCGTATCATTAAATATAGATTATGAAATTAATATGTTCAGATGCGACATTTCTGTGGGACAAGTTTAGGACGAATATATTATTATACACATTTTTTTGTAGAAACATATAAGTTATTATAATTAGGCTAAATTTTTCATATTTAAATCTGCTTACTATTCTTTTATTTTATTTTTAGGTTTCCACTTCAAAGTCAAAGTGGAATAAATTCGTCCATTTTTAACTCTCGCGTGCCCAGCATTTATGAACGATTATTTACAGCATTTATGATTCTAATTAAAATATAATATATTTGTAATTTAAATTTTATGTTAATAAGTTTTGTTAAACATACATTTAGTATGTTTTTTTATATTTGACATAGATACCTTTTAAAATATTCAGATACAAATATCATTAAAATGTAATTGTGATATAATATTATGTAATATTATATTAAATAAACAAATATAATATACAAAATAAATGACAAAATTTAAATATTGTTCTCGATATAATTTAGCTATTTAACAATACAATCTACCTACCTACGGATATTACCTACGGATCATTCTACCTATGTTTATTCTATGATAAAAAAAACAAACGCGCGAACACAGAGTAGCGCACATTTTTGTTTGCGATAGCTGTTCTAGTACGTAAGTACATATTACTTCAATGATGTAGGCATAATATTTAATTACCATTTAGTGGCTGTGTAGGAATATAAGTTCTGCAACGCGTGCGATCAGACATTATGATATAATCCGGTGTCGCAAGTACAAGGCGGTCGTATATAACATGTAATATGTTCGAAGTCGTCAAGTAGAAACAGTGATGAATAATTGTTTGTGCATAATTATCACAATCGGTCGAAATAAACTTTTAAAAGTTATGATAATCGATTATCAAAGTATTATTATGTGCTGAGTTCACGCTGCGCGTGTTCTCTAATATAAAGCAAATTACGGGAGGCTGACTGCTTCATACGAAAATGTATGGGAGCCGGGAACGAATTCTGCTAAAAATAATGATTTTTATCCTTAGAATATTGCTTTTTGGTTTGAATGAGTAAAAAAAAGTTAATGGTGATTATTTATAATTTCGTCTCACATTTTCACCAAAAAATATTTTCTAAAATAATAACGAAATAGCCTAAAAATACAAATAGAAATGGCTGTTTTAATGTTTCTTCCATATTTGACGATTTTTTTTCCTGAAAATCAAGAATTTTCTTACAAGTATTACGCTGTGTAAGTGAAGACTCATCTGTTAACCAATTGAGATTTTTTGTGACGTCATTTAAAGAAGTGAGTTCTTCAATTTTTTTTAAAATCGTAACTGCCTATTTGCGTGTTTCAGTGCCGGTTTTTTGTCAATCATCAAGGAAATACAGTTGGGGTTTTTTGTGTGCTCTTTAACCTCAATGTTTGCACCAAACGTTTTTCACGAGCTTTATTGATAGGGACACTTAAACAGTACGGCTTTACGCAAAGCCCAGCTTGATTTTAAGATCTAAGTATGAGGCACAGTGCTTGGCATACCATTAAAGGCACTGCAGTGCAATGACACTAATCGCACTGCCTAAAGCATTTCTTATTTCATAGTCAGTGATTGATATAAGTTAGTATCGTTTAGGTTTGAAATTTAAACTCATGTAGTTGATTAAAAAATGAACCTGCGCAAATAACGCTCACTAGAATTTTCTACCACTCAAAATTTATTCTAACTCACATACACAATATAGGAAATGGGCGTTGATTTCATGCATCCATCCATGCCTTGCAGCCTATAAAGGTTCACTGCTGAACATAGTTAAACATAGTTTTTTATATTATTTTGAGTAGTTAAAAGAAAGGTGTTGCTACCAAACAGTCTCTATTTTCCTCCGTCGTCTCACACACTGCCCTTACACGTTATAACTGTTTATATTCAACAAGAGAGAAAAAGAGTCCGTCCAAGATGTAGTGCAATAGCTAACTCTCTCTCTCTCTGTATATGTATGTGTGTGTATATAAAACTCTCATAACTTTTGAATGGCTTGACCGATTTCAACTAACTTGGTTCGAAAGGATTTCACCAAACTTAGATTTTCAATACTGTTTCAACCGGTTTAGTCAAAAAAATGTTTTCTTGGAATAACTTTTAAACCGATGTAACGATCAATTACAAAATCTAATCAGCATTTAAACATGGGAAACGACGTCAATTGCTGCGTACCGCTTCAAACTCGGTTAAAGCGTTGAAGAGAAATCGATGACGAAAAATTTCCAAAAATTTTTTATGACATAACTTTTGAATTTAGTCTTATCTTTTTTTATAATAGATTTTACTATTGTTCTTAAAATACCTCGCCGACTGCCACCAATTATATCAAAATCGATTGAACCGTTCGAAATTTATCATTATCAAAACCTTTTAAAAATGGTTTTTTTTTAATTACTTCGAAATTTCTGCTCGGATCGTTTTTTATTATTAGTTAGATTAGTATTTAACTAATAATAAAAAAATTAGATTAGTATTAGTTCGTAAAAATATTTTTCGACCGTTTTCAGATCAAACGTAGCGAGAGAAGTTCATGGGATGGCCTGCAGGGACAACAGATTTTTTTTATACAATAAGGGTGATAAACGAGCACACAGTCCACCGGATGTTAAGTGGGTACTAAGGCCCATAGACATCTACATCTATTCTCGATTAAATATAAAAATATTGTTGCGTTGTTATTCCTGAGAACTAAGATGGCATTCCTTGTTTCTAGAAAAGAGGGGTCTATTTTAAGCTGGTATTCTGTCAAAGCGTGGTACTTCCCCGGTTGCGCTGACCCATTCGTGCATACAAACATAACGTAACTGCAGCTTGCACTACCAAGTCTTACATAACAAAGAGTGGCTAAGCTTTCCATTGACGTCCGTCGAGTTGGGGGTTGATATTTTTTTTACAGAAAGGTTACATTAATATAAGCACACACGTAAAGTTTCAACATGCGGAAAAGCGTACTTTTTTGAGAAAAAAATTATTGAAAATCAATAATTTTTGCAATATTTATGTCAATCCTATCTCAGATTATATGATATTTTTTTTACAGAAAGGTTACACTATTGTAAACAAAGCAATTTCCTGAACGTCTTTTTGAGAAAAAAATTATTGAAAATCAATTATTTTTATAATATTTACGTCAATCCTTACCACAGATTATATCGAATTCTCGCCATTGAATGTTCGTTTTCCGTACAGTTAAGTTGTCATACGTTCGGTATCATTTTATTGTATTTTTAATAATCCCTCTGAATGAGTCCCTCTATTTATTTTTGGTGAAGGGGTTCCCCCTTCCCCCCCCCCCAAGAGGTCCCCATGGTTTTTTACACTTAATATTTATCCATAAAAAATAAAATTTCCTCAGAATTAAAATTCAAAAAACTCAAAAAGGGGGGGGCTCCGCAACTTTTCCTTTTAAGGGGGGAGTAGTACAACTCCCCCCGCCCTCCCACCACCCCCCTCCAACCTCCAATTCGACGGACGTCAATGGAAAGTCGTACCCAAAGAGTTAACGAAGAAAACAAATTGCACACGCATGGTGAATTTTGAAATTTTTATTACCTTGAGATCGGGGCACGATACGGTGTTGTATTGGTGAGGGTAGGGCTGTAGCATCGGCGCGTTCATCAACTCGTCAGGCAATGCTAGAAGGGAACCGAGGAAAGTCACAGCCGCCGTACGTGGACACTGCAATAGTTCTTTTCGTTAAGAACAAAGCACAAATATTTACAAATACTATGAATTGGCATTACTGATAGCTTCTCTCTTTAAATGTAATTACTTTATTTATTTCAGGGAAAATACAATAAAATACTGGTCATAATTAAACAATAAAGACAATTTAAATGAAATAAATATTTACTGCTTTAAAATTATCAAATTTAATTTTAATTTAGTATTTGGCACATCAACACGGTTGTCCGTTTGTGTCCTATTTTACGTATTACTTTTTTAAATACACAGCTATAATAAAAGAGTTTATTTAATATTCGAATCAAGAAACGAGAAAGTAGTAATTAGATTTTTTTTTATTGATCCACCAACATTTGTATCATTCCTTACATGCTATTTAAATACAATGAAGCGATAAGAACTAAAATGTACAAATAATTACAGGCGGATACAACATGCAAATAACTTTCTCAGCACTGTGTACCTCTATTACTAGGATAAAGAAAGAATTAAAAATTAAAAGAAATTATAACTAAATACAAATAAAAATATATAGAAGCGAAAAGGAAAGAACATATTTTATAGAATGTTACAAAAGATGGTCTCTTAAGGTGCGACGGAGCTTGTTAAGTGGGTCGAAAAAATATATCAATTTTATCTCTAAATTTGTTAACAAGTTTACTCAATCTAGCAATTGGGGAATTGGAGGCAAACACTGTTCTTCTATATGGTCTAGTCAATGGTGTAATCTTACGAGCGTAACGCGGGTAACGAAAGGGAACGCATATATTAAATTTACTTAAAATTTCAGGACAGTCAATAACACCACTAATAATTTTAGAAGCAAAAATCAAATCAATAATATCCCTGCGGTTTTCAAGAGAAATCATTTTGAAATTGATCAAATTATTTTCATATGATACACGCTTCTTATTACTTCTAAATCCGCTTGCGTATGACAAATGTCTTATAAATCTTTTTTGGATCCCCTCGATTCTCAGTGAATGTGTAGCGTAATGAGGTCTCCAGTACTGTACTCTAACATACTTCTTACCAAACTGTTAAATAAAAGAATTTTAATTCTAGCATTTCGAAAGACTTTGATATATCTTATGACAAAACCCAACATTCTAGATGCACGTTTAGTAATGTTTTCAATTATTTCATGATAAATGATTTAAAAAAGTGATTACTTGTTAAAACTTACTATTAATATTACTTTTGTGTATTCATGTTGTAATGACTGAATATTTTTAAATTAATTAATTAATATACTGATTCGTAGGATATACCCGAAATAGACTAAGAACTGGTTTTTCAGTCATCAGATAAAAGCTATCCTTCAAATAAAATTGTAACCTCACTGAATACAAATGTGATACAATTGAACTATTTTATCCATACAGCTGTATTTTTCTAATTTGTATGTGCTATATTTTATGTCAACAAGTGGTAAAATAAAAAAATACAAACGATTTCAATATAAATAAAATGGGTACATCATCAATGTAGTCGAAGACAATTAAATACGCAATATTAAGGATAACTTTAAAACTACTGGTCAGATCCTGATCAAATTTATATGGGGCCATATGAGAAGCACCAGCTTTCGATTAAAAATAGAATCATCAAATTCAGTTAATCTAGAAAAAGTTCTGATATAACACATAAAAATACAGTAGAGTCGAGTCCTCTTTTTTAAAGTCGGTTAATTGCAACTATCTGTTGATAAATCAGTCCTAAAATGTATATCGTTATGGCATAATTTATCGTTTCACTAACTGATGTTCCCATGTCAGAAGAGTTGAGTACGACGGTTGAGGCGTGGACGAAGTCCAACAAAAGTAGAGAGTAGCCATCGAGAGCCAGGGACAGGTAGCGTGGCGCTGCGTACTCCACCAGTACATCCACCACGGAACGGTCTTCGCCTGTCAAACCTGTATGAATATACATATATATTTATTATAAAAGTTCAGTCCAGCTACTATCAAAGTAATTTATTTCTATTTTTATCTGTGCTGTGACACAAAGGGTGTGACTGACACAAATGAACACCTTATCTCTTAGGACTAGGTATTTAGTTAGTCGCTTCAAATTAGTGCGTAGCGCAGGAATAGCTTCTTATCAGAAGCTGGATTCCACTGAATGTGTTCTCTGTATTCGAATACTAGTTAAAATTATTTATTTCAGGAATTTTAATGCTCCACCCTAAACTTCTATAGATGGTAATCAATCGCATTATTCATCAAATGCTAAACGGATAATGGAAAGACCAGCTCCTCGTTTTTACTTTTAAGGCGACACCGTGAAAAAATGCACCTCCTTTCATCGAATAGTATAGGACTATGACACTACTAACGAAAGTGGGATTTTGATATAGGTAAATTCATGTCTTTATCTTGAATTTGATTGCTCAAAAACACGATTGTATAATTTTGACTCGATCATAATTATTTGCAAAAACACCTCTAAAAAATCACTATAGTTGAAATTACAACGAAATCATTTGATCTATATTGCTTTTATTTTGATAACTTAAATCAATAATTTTTAAAAAAATATAAGATTCTGACAATTTCTAAGCGCTTTTAATCGTTGCGGGCGCTACGCAATTTTGGACCTTATGACGGCGTTTCTTCAAGTTTTTGTAGAAATTATGTTATTCACTCGGATCAGTACGGCGATAGCGTTTTCGATGTGTCGTCTTAATGCTAATTCATTCTTTTTCATTAGCCCGTAAAAATCCAATGCTGGACGACATGGGCCTTTCCCATTATTAATAATCGTCACGATTGACTCAGACGTATCGCCTATCGTTATAGCAAACGTTTCCCACCTTTGGCGCTGTTTTCGTCTATTTGACGCCTGCCGTAAACGAGATTTTTATACCGCCATCTATCGGGAACCATAAGATATTTAGGACATATCCCTAAGTCGCTTGTTACGACATCTTCAGGACGATATGGGGTTATGGATATTCTCATACCGCCATCATAACCACCGAACTATATTACTAGCGCATAGAACAGACAGAACAGATTTGCATTAGGGATTAGTTTTCTCGCGACCAAAACGTCATAAGCGCCAGGAATTTCACGGCACTTACGCGTATCGTTCAAAGTAGTGTACAAGCTCCCATAGATTTTACATTTTGCCCGATTCTGTGAGCATTATAACAAAGCGAAAAACTTTAAATCAAAGAGTTTCAAACGCTTTAATGTCTACTTACCGATGAAATGTTAAACCATTTTTTTTTGATGTTCCGGAGTGTTTACTGCAGTCTTTAAGAACACAACCAGGCATTTTCAAGTTGTTATTCATGCGAAGTGAACACGACTCATCTGTGCAGGCAGTGGACACTCACTAAACAGTTGCGGTACAGTGTACCGCAATGCGTGGCGCAAAATAATGCAAGGCGTTGTCTTCTCTATACGTAGTACTTAATGATATGATTTTATGCGACTTAGGCCTTTTCTGTATCAGCTTCTACAGTAGTAGATAGTTTTTATGTCATGTAATTGAACAAGGAAAAACGTCTATAATATTCTTCTATATTTATAATAGAGATTCTTCCAACAGAGAGAAGATAACTTGCCGTGGTGCAAAGCGCGTTGGTAGAGATGCAGGTGCGCGAGATGCAGGCGGTTGTTGCAGGAGGACGGCGCGCCCGGGCCTTGCGCCTGCGTCGACTCGCAAAGCAGCCGCAACGCCAGCAGCTTGCCCGCTCTGAGATAAAACCATTACATACATGCGATTCTCGTCGTTGAGAAATGTAACACACTTATCCACACACCCTTTAATGTTTTGTTTTTGAATTTTACGACCTTTTCCTATAATTACTTAAACATTTATTGTTATGATTTACATTTTCCCAACCAACTACTGTACCTTTAAAACAATAGAATAACAAACCAGTGCTCTCCACATATAGGAAATTAGCCACTGTAGCCCTTAAATACTTTCAGTTGATTCAATGCATTGTGATGTCATTCCAGAAGATTAATAGAATGCATCATAAAATCGTATGGACATTACATGCTCTTTTCTTGAAATGTATTTTAAGTGCACTGCTAATTTGCGGTAGAATTAAACTCACTCATTGGAAACTTACTTCCATTACAGTGAGTTTCCATTACCTATCCTACGACCTAAGAGTTATCCTATTTGAGATGTTATTGAATCCTCTTAGGCGATTGAAATCAGGAAAGAGAATATATTGAACTGCGCATTGGTTGGTAGATGCCGAGCTTTACTGTTTTTAGATGTAGCAAAAAAAAAAACAGAATATAACTTATCCAGAATAAGGATCGGTGGCGTGCAAAGGAGATCTCAGGAAGGATAGGGTACCATACCATAGGTTTAGTGGGGCGATAATGATCAAACTAATATCTGGGAAATAAAATATTTTAACTATTAAAAATTAACAATGTTAGAAATTTCACCTGGATTACGTACAAAATATTGCACTATTTTGATAAAATAATAGTCATGTGAATATGTGAAATAGAATAAGGGCTAATTTTCACAAAATAGTTATCCGTAAAAGAAATTATAACATCACTAAATATAAATATGATACAGTTGAATAACGACAGCTGTAAATGCGATTTTTCCGGACCGATACGACTTAGGGACCTTCAAGAAAAGAGCTTACTCCTTTCTAAAGGGCTGGCAATGCACCCGCACTTCCCCTGGTGTTGCGTTAATCATGGGCGGCGGTAGTCACTTACAACACGTACGAATTAACTTGAGACTTCGCTGGAATGCGACCCCCTTCCCGACTCCCCGCACCGCGTCCCGCGCTGGCCGTGTGCGCTCAGTACCGATAGCATTTTTGTTACGGATACGCGTATCGACCCTAGTTCGATATTTTTGATAATTGTTTGTTGTTTGGTTTGGACTTAAGGTTGCCTGGGAGAGATTGCTTTTTAGCAATAAGGTCGCCTGTTATGCTTTGTATTTTTATTGTGTACGAATCTGTAACACTTTTTATAGTGCAATAAAGTGTACGATAAATAAATTAATAATATTATAAATGAGAAAGTGTGTATGTTTATTTCTTTGTCCTTCCTTGACGCGTTAACTAAAATATAATATTATAAAAAATAAATATTTAAAATATATAAAAATGGCAACAGTATATCACTTATTACTTCACCCTTTGCCAGAACATTTTATTTTGTTTTTATTAATAATCTCATGCAAATCTTAAAAATTTCAAATAAAAAAATATTACGACGCATTATTTTGCACACCGTACATTGACAATTACGTCATCGGCCCAGGTCTCAAGTTAATTCGTACGAATTATAACATCAGGTGAGCCGTATGCTCGTTTGCCTCCTCTTCTATAATTTTTTTAATTTGTATGTTATATTTTATGCCAGGAATAACTTCTATCTGTTGATAGAAAAAGCAAGTCTAAAATGTATATCGTTAATCGTTATGGCTTAATTTATCGTTTCACTAATTGTTTGATAAAATAATAGTTATGTGTTTATATATAATAAATGGTGTAACGAACCTGTGGGAAGACGGCAAGGCTTCGGCCTCGAGACACCATCCCGCCACTAAGTTGAATGGTACGTGAATTTCCGTATTTCCATTTAGAGTTTGGTTTGCGCTTATCTGTAACAAAGATATTTACGTCACTTGCTTTTAAAATTGTTTGTAAGTATACTACTTTCAAACACTACAAAAACAAATTGTTTAGTAACGGTGTGCTATGTGCAATGTACATATAGTAGACTTGCAACGAATAGTACCTATATATGTTTAAGTAACGTGTGTACTATGTGCAATGTACATATAGTAGACTTGCAACGAATAGTACCTATATATGTTTAAGTAACGTGTGTACTATGTGCAATGTACATATAGTAGACTTGCAACGAATAGTACCTATATATGTTTAAGTAACGTGTGTACTATGTGCAATGTACATATAGTAGACTTGCAACGAATAGTACCTATATATGTTTAAGTAACGTGTGTACTATGTGCAATGTACATATAGTAGACTTGCACCGAATAGTACCTATATATGTTTAAGTAACGTGTGTACTATGTGCAATGTACATATAGTAGACTTGCAACGAATAGTACCTATATATGTTTAAGTAACGTGTGTACTATGTGCAATGTACATATAGTAGACTTGCAACGAATAGTGCCTATATATGTTTAAGTAACGCGTGTACTATGTGCAATCTACATATAGTAGACTTGCAACGAATAGTACCTATATATGTTTAAGTAACGTGTGTACTATGTGCAATGTACATATAGTAGACTTGCAACGAATAGTACCTATATATGGCCACGCGCCGAATATTAGGGAAAAGTATTCAGTCGGGAACAAAGTAGATTTATTCTTCAAAGCGTCTATTCTCTAAAGCTAGGATTGTCTACGAGAAGAAAAAAGTAAACTACTGCCTGGAAATAATGAAAAATTAGTCTTTCTGCACCATTATCTTCCACTTTAATTGCAATAGTACAAAAGCATGACATTTATCTGATGTGGTTCTTTTTTATTTTTATAATATGGAAGTTGATTATGTGAATGAAAATTAATTATAAAATTAAATAAGAAATGAATTATAAACCGAATACAATAAACCTGTTACTTAAATTATTATCGGTATTCGGCCGAACACCGAATAATAGCCGAATATTCGTTGCAAGTCTAATATACAGCATTCGATTGAATAAAATAAATAAATACGGGAATATTTAAAACATTTATCACAGTAATTATGATGTTATTCTTAAAATGATCATTACCAATCCATTAATAATTCAACGCTTAGTTATTTTTTAAAACTGGTGACAAACGAAGGATAAGTCAACCTGAAGTGGTTACTTGCAGTCCACGGACACCCGTAACTAATTCCAAACAAAGAAAACTACAGACGCCTTGTGACTTTTGAGGACTAAGATGGAATGGCGCACAGCCTGTAATTATACTGGATCAGCGTACCCTTCAGACCTGAACACAGCTGAGCAAGCGTTGCTATTTTAGCGGCAGAAACATGTAAGAGGGCGATAACTCCTAAGTAAAAAAGAGATCTCCCACCCTTAACCAATCACATTTATCAGGGAATTTGAAATGCAAAATCAAATGTCTAATGCATGATTAAAAATTTGAAGATTTATATAAATGTAATTTATTCGTGAGCCTACTGTGACGAAGCGTAAAATAGATTTTCTTGCATCTTATAAATACCTTATTGCGAGATATATTTTCGTTGACAGAGATATTTTTATCTTCTTTCAAAGAATTAATAAACAACAAAAGCACCGTACAACACATTAGACTCATAGAAATTTAAGACTATTAAAATTTTTATTCTTACTGATTTAAATACGAGAAACACTTTAAATAAACTTAAATTAAATAACACATAGGTTAAAAAAACAAAAGCCCTTAAAACTTGGATAGATTTAAATAATTACACTATACGCTGACAGCAATTAAACTCTACTAACACTGATCGTTTTCAAAACTATTCATCAGTGTGGCAAATGTTATCATACCTTCAAAGTTTCAAAAATATTGTAAACAAATAACCTCTTTTTTTCTGAGTCTCCTTAAGAGCCTTCTTTTTCCTCCTTTTCTTTCGCATTGGCAATCTTTGAATAATTTTGAATTGGGCAACAGTTCGCACAATCTGCGTAACACGATACACAAATCTAATAGTTGGTAATTAGAATATTTCTAAACAAAAATTTTACTTTGTTGCATTAAAACAAAGGTATACAAACACGCATGATTTAGATAAAGGTAGGATACTGTTACACCATATGTCGAACGCTCTCAGATATGAAATGATAAACGACGTGAATATGGCATTTTTGTGATAAATATTAACAGATGCCGGTGACAAACTGGATAGTTTTGTTATGTATGTGCTAATAGTGGGTAACGGTGGTGTAATGCACCTAGTGTTTATTAGATGATTTGTGGGCTAACGAACTCATATTTCGTGCAGTTTTATGTAGCATTTATTATGAATGATTGTGTTTACGTTGAATGGGTGCAGTTTAGTTTGAATTTCATAGATAGTCTAGTGACGACGTAAGAATAGATTGTCTTCCCTGAGGGCTAAGATGAAATGTCTCCGATTCTCTGCACTCGCCATAAGAAACATAGCAGCATTAAGCTGCTATTTTACGTTGGTATTCTGTCAGAGCGTGTTCCTTCCCCGGTCGAGCCAACCCATTCGTGCTACAACCATAATATAGCTGCAGTGTGCCTCTACCACGTATAACGCTCGGCAGACGTATTAGCGTTTGCCAGTACGTCTACCGAGCGTGGCAACTGTGGCAATGTCCACCTTATTAGGCAATCTTTTCTATAGAAGCCTATACAAATCGACCACAGTGTTATTCTATTTTTTATAGAAGCAAACGAGCATACGGTTCACCTGATGTTAAGTGATATATAATCTAACGCAGCCCATGAACCAGGGGAATTGCAGGTGCAATACCGGCCCTGTCGTATCGGTCCGGAAAAATCGCCGGTGGTAAACTATTCCACAGAGAGGTCGTACGCGGAAGAAAACTCCTAGTGAAACGTACAGTGATGGACCGCCAAGCATCCAGATGGTGTGGATGGTATCGGGAGGTTTGTCGCGTAGTGCGGTCATGAAATTTGGCGGGTAGGATTAATCCGAAATATTCCTCAGAGCACTCCCCGTGATAGATGCGATAAAATACGCAAAGAGATGCAACATCTCTTCGCAGCGCCAGTGATTCGAGCCGATAGGAAAGCACTCGGTCGTCAACGATTCGAGCCGCTCTGCGCTGGGGAGCCCCAGCCCAGAGATGGGAACAGTATTCCATGTGCGGCCGAACCTGCGCCTTGTAAAGTTGCAGGCGGTGTGCCGGCATGAAATACTGCCCCGCTCTGCTGAGCACGCCAAGCTTTTTTAGAGGCCAATTTGGCCTTCCCTTCCAAGTGACCACGTAACTGCACGTCACTCGATATGTCGACGGCAATAAGGGGAGTGTCTCGAAACTGAGGAGATACGACAAAGGGGTTCTTTTTAGCGGTTAACGCGCAAACCTGTGTCTTCTGAGGGTTAAACTGGACTAGATTAAGTCGCCCCCAATCCGAGACTTTGTTCAGCAAAGACTCGACTTCACACACAAGTTTTTCCCGGTACTCCGAGACGTTTTCCCGAGAAATATTGGCACGGCCGGTGTACAGAGCATCACCAGTGCTGTCATCTGCATAGCAATGAATGTTGCCGGTTTGCAACATGTCATTGATATGCAGAAGAAACAGCGTTGGTGATAGCACACAGCCTTGTGGAACACCAGCGTTAATAGGCTTGTAATCGGAGCTTGCACCGTATTCTTTATTTTATTTTATTGGTATGCTTTTTATAGCTTAGAAAGATGTAGATATATACGTTTGCAAATCGCAATATGAAGTCAACGCGTGCAAGTGTGACAGTTATGTATGCCTCGATTCGTTGCGTTTGTTTACGTGTGAATAGTTGAATTTTTCGTGTTGTTTATAATATTAGTAAATGCTATAGAAAAAAAAATTTGAAATAAATTTCTTTTCGAATTTAATTTGTTTTTATGTATTTATTGCGTTATATTACTTTCTTTCATTCTGCAAAAAATTAATGAAAAAAGAAGTTTTAAGTTTTAACAAAGATTTTTATATGTTTTAATGAGATTTTTGATACTGTAAAAACTTTTTTAAGATCTGGCTTGTCGCTACATGCTATCCTAATTACATAATTCAGACGAGAATCCGTAAGTTTGTTTCTGACCAAGTTCTTTGAGTATTTCATTCAAAGAATATTAGTAGTATTTGGCACGTTTGGACGGTTTTATATTTTTGGGGAACAATACTCCAAAATTCCACACATCCATGTTTGCCTTTTTTTCTTTGAACAGAACTTCTATATTGGTGTCGTTTTTAAACTCGATGAATTCATCAAACTACTCTGAGTAATTACAATTTAAAACTGAAGCAAACTCTGTACTAGTAATTTTTCTAAGTGGCATGGATTTTTTATAAGTAACAAACTTTGTTATTTTTTTAGATCTTGGAACCTTTTTCGAAATTCGTTTAAAAGTACAGTTATATAATTTGAAATTATGAAGCGATTTTCTTCCGAAATGTTGGTACCGTCCTGTGTAGTTCTTATCATCATTTGAAAATTTTGCAGCAGTATGTTCTGTATTTCTTCATGATAAAAGCTTAGCTTTTGCTCAAATGCAAACACTTTCAATTCTCTTGCTCGTATATAACTGACAATATTGATAACTGTCTTCATTACAGCTTCTATATCTGGATTTAATACACGCGAAGCCAATCTTTCTTGGTGGATAATGCAATGAAATGTTGTTAAATTAGTTAAATTATATTTTTCTTTAAAAAACGAAATAAATCCATTTTCAGATCCAGTCATTAAAGGACAACCATCGTCATGTACACAGACACACGATTTTTTGTATGTCAATTTCGTTCTTATACAAAAAATTGCAAATAACATCAAGGTAATCTGTGCCTTGTGGGTTTGACCTTTCATTGGTAGGAATTTAAAAAAACTTTCCGGTATGATATTGTTTTCTGTACAATATCTAACAAACACCGAGCATTGTAA